AATTTGATTCTTTTCGTGGCGGATTTACACATGGATTCCTTTTGTGGCAGATCCGCCACCACCACCGCCGCCACCTCCTCTCCTATTTCCATTTCCCATATTTCGGCGTTCCCTTCCCCCCTTCCATCCCGACATCCCTCCACCGCGAACGACCATGAGGGAGGGGCCGGTGGTGGTGTGAGCAAGGAGGGAAGGAATTGCTGTTCTCCCGCCACCAACACCTCGCCCTTTCCTCCCCCATCCCAAGTCCCCCTCACCTCCATTCGTCCAGATCGGCCGCCCCCCACCGCGACCACATCTCAATGTCCCCATCCGCTCCCCCCTATCGTTCCCTGTCCCCTGCCCCATCCCTCTCGCCGTCTCTCGCGCTCTCGCACGCCTCAAAGAAGGGAGGGATAGCGACTAGGAGGGAGAGAGGAATGGGGGAAGGGCCGCGGTGCGAAGGGGGGGGGGAGAAAAGGCGGATGGAGGGAATTGGGATGGCATCCGCGAGGGAGGGGGAGGGGGGACATGAGAGGACCATGCCCCCATTAACACGACTACCTGCAGCTCTCTCGTTATCTCTCTCCGTCTCTCTCTCTCTCTCTCTCTCTCTCTCTCTCTCTCTCTCCCCTCTCTCTCTCTCCCCTCTCTCTCTCTCTCTCTCCCCCCTCTCTCTCTCTGTCTCGCTTTCTCTCCTTCGCCCTTCCATACCACCCTCATTGGTTCCCTGCAGCACCACCGCGACTTCCCCCACGTGCCTCGCATCCTTCCACTAACTGTTCATGACTCCATACATCGAGGGTGGCGGTGGTTGGAGAGGGAGAGGGGCAGGCGGCGAGGATGGTTTGAGCGGCTGTCATCCCCCCTCCCCGCCTCCCTCCCTCTGCAACGCAGCCACTACCATTTCTCTCTCTCTCTCTCTCTCTCTCTCTCTCTCTCTCTCTCTCCTCCCTCTCACCGTTCCTCCCCCCTTCCCTCAATATTTGAGGGCGGTGGCGGCACGGAGGGCGAGGGCGCGGGAGAATGGGGGGGAGTTGAGGGGGGGCGGGGGGTCAATGTAGAGAAGGAGAAGCATGGTGGGGGGAGGGCATCATACCCCTCCCGCCGCCCGCCCATTCTTCCCTCACAAACGCCCTTCACGCGCATCTTTTTCATCCCCCATCCTTCCCCTCCTCCCCTCCCTCTCACCCTCTTTCCTCCCTTGCGTGCACATGCATCTGTGTACGTGCGTGCGTGGGGATGCCTGAACTTGCAAGAAGTGCGCGCGTGCGTGCAATTCCGCGTGCATGTTATATAACATGTGAATATATATATATATATATATATATGGTAAAACCAACGCGAAGGGATCGGATGGGGGAGGAGGGGGATGCGGGAGGGAGGTGGCAGGATGCAAGCGGAGGGGGGATAGGAACCATGATTATGAGGGAGGGCCATGTGGATCGGGGGTGGGGGAGAAGGGAGGAGGCGAGGAGGGATCAGCGATGCCAGAAGAGGACAGGGGGAGGAGGGAGCTGGGGTGGCGGCGGGGAAGGGGGACAGCGGGGTGAAGGAGGAGAGAGGAGGGAGGAGGCGAGGGCGGGGTAAAATGCGGAGGTGGGGCCGAGGAACAAGAGACGAACGACGAGGAGTTGGAGAAGGGGGGGGCGGGCGAGGAGGAGGACGACGTCGGCGACGGCAACGGGGATGAGGAGGAGGAGGAGGAGGGATGGGGGGGGAGGAGGAAGATGAGGGGATGATGATGAGGAGGAGGAGGAGACGGGGGGATCTGCGATGTAGGCATCGCTGCTCGTTCACAACTTGCACGCGCGTGTTCTTAATAGCCGTCGCACCTGAAAAATAACTCACGAGTTTAACCTGTCCGCATGTCCATTTGATTGCAGTAGAAACGTCAGAAAGCATCTCCGTCAAATGAGTCCACGGGAGGAGGAGGAGGAGGAGGAAGGAAAGCAGGATTGGGAGAGAACGGAAGAGCGAAACGGAGTTGGACAAAGAACTGCCTTTAAACCCTTTGAAGACCGAAAGCTAGCCATGCCCATCCAGCCTGGCGCCCGAGGAGCTCCAGACTGGATGGGTATGGCGGGCTTTCGGCACTTTGAAGGTTTCATGCTTCCCTCTCCTTCTCCATCTCCCTCTCCTTAATGCTTCTCTCTCCTTCTCTCTATCCCTCTCTCTCTCTCTCTCTCTTGTGGCGGATGCCAACATGTTTCCTTTTGTGGCGGGTTACAACGTGAAACCTTTTGTGGCGGATTACAAGTTCATTCCTTAGGTGACGGATTACAACTTGATTCCTTTTGTGGCGGGTTACAGATGGACTCCTTTGTGCCGGATTACAATCGGTTCCTTTTGTGGCGGATTACAAACTGATTCCTTTTGTGAAGGATTACACATTGATTCCTTACGTGGCGGGTTACATAGTGATTCATTGTGTGGCGGGTTACCAATTGATTCCTTTTGTGGCGGATTACAAATTGACCCATTTTGTGGCGGATTACACAAGGAATCCTTTTGTGGGGGATTATAAACTGTTTTCTTTTGTGGCGAATTACAAAGGTGATCCTTTTGTGGCGGACTCCAAATTGATTCCTTTTGTGGCGAGTTACAGATGGACTCCTTTGTGTCAGATTACAATCGGTTCTTTTTGTGGCGGATTACAAATTGATTCCTTTTGTGAAAGATTACACATTGATTCCTTATGTGGCGGGTTACATAGTGATTCATTGTGTGGCGGGTTACCAATTGATTCCTTTTGTGGCGGATTACACATTGACCCCTTTTGTGGCGGATTACAAAAGGATTCCTTTTGTGGGGGATTATAAACTGATTTCTTTTGTGGCGAATTACAAAGGTTATCCTTTTGTGGCGGATTGCAAATTCATTCCTTATGTGGCGGATTGTGGCGAATTACAAAAGGAATCCTGTTGTGGCGGATTACAAATTGATTCCTTTTGTGGCGGGTTACAAAGGAAATCCTTTTGTGGCGATTTACGGGAGAAAAAAAAAAGGAATCCTTTTGTGGGGATCTTTAGCGGCCTGGACGCGCGAGGGGTTCCCAATACTGTTAAAATTTCTATGTTTAAACCATTTTCAAATTTTAAAATCGGAAAACAAGGTTTCGCTTGAGACTGTCTCAGGATTGTATAAATCCAGTGTGTTCGGCTGATGTAGAATTCAGAAGGAGTCTGAAGCGAAACTGCGTTTTCTGTGTGAAACCAATGTAAAAAAACAATGAATAAGCAGGCTTCGCTTGAGACTACGTTTGAATTTTACATCAGCCAAGCTCCATGGATTTATAAAATTCTGAGACAGTCTCAAGCGAAACCTGGTTTTCCCATTTAAACATTTTAAAGTTATATATATAGATATATATATATATATATATATATATATATATATATGTATACATATAAATAAACAAAAACAAAAACAAAAAAAACAAAAAAAATCAAAAACAAAAACAAAACAAAAAAACAAAAAAAAACAAACAAAAAAAATTTGGGGACCCCTCGCGCGTCCAGGCCGCTAAAGATCCCCACCAAAAGGATCCCATTTTTGTAATTCGCCACAAAAGGGTTTCCTTTGTAACCCGCCACAAAAGAAATCAATGTGTAATCCGCCACACAATGATTCCCTTTGTAATTCGCCACAAAAGGATTCCTGTGTAATCCGCCACATAAGGAATCAATTTGTAATCCGCCACAAAAGGATCGCCTTTGTAATTCGCCACACAAGAAATCAGTTTATAATCCCCCACAAAAGGATTCCTTTTTGTAATCCGCAACAAAGGGGGTCAATTTGTAATCCGCTGAAAAGGAATCAACTGGTAACCCGCCACACAATGAATCACTACGTAACCCGCCACAAAAGGGAATCAAATTGTAATCCTTCACAAAAGGAATCAGTTTGTAATCCGCCACAAAAGGAATCGATTGTAATCTGGCACAGAGGAGTCCATATGTAATCCGCCACAGAAGGAATCAATTTGGAGTCCGCCACAAAAGAAAATCAATTCGCAATCCTTTACAGAAGGACGAAGAAAGAAGGAAGAGGATGAACGCGAAGTAGATGCCATCAAAATGAGCCAAGAGAGTGGCCCACGGGAGTCCCATGGCCTGTGTGTGTATATATTTATATATGTGTGTGCTCATGAAGAACATGATGATGCTACTAATGAGGATGCTGCTGCTGATGATCCGGGTGATGGTGATGATGGCGATGCTGATGATGATGTTGATGCTGATGTCGATGCTGATGATGGTGATGCTGGAACTGATGAGCTGTTGCTGATGATGACGCCGATGCCGATGCTGGTGATGATTCTGATCATGATAATGCGGATGAGGACGATGATGCTGACGATGCTGCTGATGACGATGCTGATGTTGTTGTTGATGATGATGCGGATGCAGATGATAATGATGAGGTTCTGATGATGATGAGGAGGAGGAGGCGGATGTGGGAGAGGAGGGCGGGGGCGGGGGATGAGCACGGTGACAAGGTCGAGGGAGACGAGGGGGACATGAAAGACGACGAGAAGGTCGCCATCTCTCCCATCATGATGTAAGGCTAGGTGGCCTTGCCGATTCTATACCCCAACCCCCTTCGGGCATGATCTTGGTGAAGCTCGCTTTGTATTGATAACGTTCACCCACGGACGCGACGCGCCGGCACGCCCCCGTGGAAACTTCGCGCTGTTCGTTTACGCACCATGCCCCCCCCCCCCGCACACCCAGAGGCCGCGGAACAAGGCGTAATACGGTGGGGGCGTTCGTTCAGGAATGTGCCCTGAAGGATCCTTACCTACTGAAGGATCCTTGCCTAATGATGGGGGCGTGATATCCATGGCGTATCCACGATGGCAGTGCCACTGGCTTCCAGACCCTGGGGAGCTGTTGTCGGTCCTCGTCCCCGTCCCTTGCGGAGCCCTCTCGATCCCTGAGAACCGTATAGGAGCAGCAGCGGGGAAAAGAGGCGGAGCGCGCGAGGGCGGGCGAGGGCCGGGCGCGCGGAGACCCGAGGTGCACAGCCGGCACCACCTCCGCCCGCTGGTGCGGGCCGCCCTGCCGCGGGGCCTGGCGCAGGGCAAGTGGCCGTGCGCCGGGGAGCTCACGCCGGGAGGCTGCAGAGGCCCCGTGGGGATCGGGCGAAGAGAGCGATGTGCACAGGCACCGGATCTCGGCATATGCCCATCCTGGGCCCAGGATCGGTGCAGATGCCCTCCCGGCCACGGCAGGAGGGCGTGTGCACCGATCCTGGGTTCAGGGTGGGCCTGGCCAGAAGCGGTGCATGTGCAGAGTTCTCTTTCCTCCAGGGGAGCGACGGGGGCTGGCGGCGGCACCAAAAGGAGGCGGATCGCAGGGCAGCGAGACCTCTATACGCAGCCACGGCTCGCGGCCTGGCCCCTCCTGGGCCCAGGAGCGGCGTATAGATGCCTCCCCGGCCGAGCCAGGGAGGCGCACACACGCCGCTCCCTGGCCCAGGATGGGCGAGGCCCCGGGGCAGTGGAGGTGCACAGGTACACAATCGGGGCGCTGCAGAAGGAACCCTTTCCGTTGGGGAGGGGCTCGGTGTTCCTTGACTGTTCTGCAGTTTGCCTTCGGTTTTCCAGAGGTTTCCCGCTGGAAGCCGAAGTGTAGCTTGTGGGCAGAGGGGGCCTCGTTCCTTATCTATCGTTCTTTAGGTCAACGCCCCGACGGTATCCCGTCGCCCAAGGATCGGGGCTCACGTGACGCGGGTCATCGCTAACGGGGGTCAGCCAATCCCTTTTGGCTGACCCGGGTTGGGGGAGCCACGTGGGGCCGAACCCCCCTTTCCGCCAGCCGCTGGCCCGGGTTCTGGAGCTACTTAGCGGACGGCCGGGCGATGGGGCTCTGGCCGACACGGGTTTGTGCTGAGCCAGGTTAGTGCGCTCCCGAGCGGATAGCCCCAGGGACAGCACTGCGTATGACCAGGGGCTCCGATCGCCGATATCTTCCCCGGGGCTCCCCTTACAAAAAAAAGAACAAGCAGCAAGCATACGGAGCTCCGCGCGGATTTCTGGGATCGGCGCCGGACTCCCCTGGCGGCGCCTCCAGCGCCGCCCCTGACGCGCTCCGCTCGCCAGGGAGGGAGGTCCAGCGCAGATCCAAGTAATCCGCGTGAGCCTCCGGAAGGTTATGTCTATGCAGTTTCTCCTTCTGCCCCTTCGACTGCGTGTAGTGGTCGCTTCTCTGCCATCCACCCCTCCTGTCCCGTTGGGAAGGTCGGGGGAAGGGGGGACGCTTGCGGCAGTTTCGCGTCGCCCTGACGCGGCGACGCTGGCGCAGGGCGTTCTGGGGCAGCACTTCTTCCACGGATCCACCGCGGGCCCAGGGGCCACCGGAAAGCAAGCTTGGGCTTGGGCCGCGTGTGGTCACATGCTTCAACTGCTCGCCGTTGCTATCGAAGCGCGTTTCCCTACTCGGCGTTTTCAGCAGCTGCAGTGCGCCGCTGGTCACGATCTTGCTTTTGTAGGTTGGCGCTGGGTGACTACACTCGCCTGCGCGATTCCTGCATGAGTACGTGCAGCATTCGCACAACTTCCTCCGCGGAGTTCGCAAATAACAGACGTATCATCTCAGCACCCGTGTTACTCGACTTCTCCGAGGGAGAGACTTCCGTGCCGCATCATGATGGGTGTAGGTTGGAATCGCGCACAGCGGCTCCCAGGCCAGCGCTGCAGAGCAGGACCCCTTGTCGATGGAGCCCGCTTTATTGTGGTAGACGCTGGACACCAGTTTGATCTACTCCCGTCTCACTCCTTGTGCGCAACTGCTGATCCACAGCGGCTGGTCGTATTTCCATGACTTTGAGCACGGTGCTTCGAATACTGGACAAGTCGTCGATCTAGCGGCGCGGGCGGAAACCGATTTGGTCGCAGTACTGTTCATCGTCTAGGCATTGCGGGCAATTTGCCTCCAGTTCTCGGCTTCGTGGCGTTTGAACGTATTTGAAAGAAAAGCGACACCACCACCACCACCAGCACCAGGGGTGCCACCTCCAGTGAGGAGGTCCACGATGCCTCCCCGAGCTGGGGATATGGGATGCCTTGAGCGGGGAGGGGGGAGACATCACCAGGACGACCCCCCCCTGGCTTGTCCACGATTCCTCCCCGAGCTGGGGATCTGGGATGCCTCGAGCTGGGAGGGGGGGAGGCACCACCAGGACGACCCCCCCCTGGCCCCTCTGCGCTGATGGCGGCGTCAGCGTGCCGGGCGGGCAGGAGCCCCGAGGGAGTCTGCCCGGGGGCGGACCGGCCAGGCGCCCGCGCAGTTCGGGCCGCCGCCCAGCCCGTGGACGTGGTGTGGGCGGACGTGGAGTGTGAGCGCGGGGCTCGGGCGGATCGCCTCCTCGGCTGCTGGAGCCGCAGGCCGTCCCCCTCGCCTCGTGAACGAGTCGCGACGGGGGTTCTGCGGTCTGTGGCCTCCCTGTGGGGCCGTCGCCGGGCTCCCGGACCGACAAGCAACGCGTCAGGGTGAAACGTCGGTCATGGGGGACGGGTCCAGTCCTTGATGGGCATGTTTTCCACCACCACCACCATAAGTTGGAGGGGGAGGGGTTCCTCCTCCTCCTCCTCCTCCTCCTCCTCCGCCTCCTTCCCCCTCCAACTTATGGTGGTGGTGGTGGAAAACAAACTCATCAGTCCTTCGGGGGTCCGAGTTGTGAACAGCACGTCCTCGGAATTCTGGGGCTTGCGGAGGTCCCCTCCTCCTCATCGGCTCGAGCTGCCGAGCCCGCAGATTATAGGACCCTCATATCTGGGCGCTGCATTGTGTCTGGACACCAGGCGTTTCCACCAGGTTCGGGCCCGAGACCATCACAGATCGATCGGGCTCGAACAATGGGGGAGGAAGGTGGAGTTTAGGGCGCCGGTCGTGGGTTTTCGCGGTGTTGTCGGATCTCAGGGGATGCAACTCCTGAGATATTAAATTCAGCATCGGCGATATCCGTGTCAGAGAGCCAGCTTGACCCGCCTTGATCCTACCGAGATCCATTTAATTCCGCGCAATCTGAGCTCAATCCCGCGCAATTCCGTTCAATCCAGCGTAACCTTGCGCTCATCATTCATTGTCTGGCATGACTCTGGTTTAATCTCTTTTAATCATTCTTGCGAAGACCTCCCAGAAGTTGCCTCTTGAATCAATGGGAGGAGGAAGAGGGGAGCATGACCAGGGGAACAGGGAAGGACGGAGGACGGCGGCGGGAGCGAGGAGGGATGGAGGACGAAGTGGGGTGCACACCGGAGGCAGGGAGAAGTGCAGAGGCCGCGGGGAGGAAGGATGAATGACGGATGAAGGCGGAGGGAGGTGGGTCAGGCCAGGACGCGGAGGGCAATGAGGAGGATGAGGAGGGATGTCGGAGATCCGAGGAAGATGCGGGAGAAGTAGGTGGATGAGGGAGGACCACGAGGAGAAATAGGAGGGGCAGGAGGAGGAGGCGGCGGAGGAGGAGGAGGGAGGAGCATGAGGAGGGGGTCTCCCTCCTTTCCTTGCTGGGCGTCCTCGTCCCCCTCTTCTTCTTCCTCCTCCATCGTCCTCCTCTTCTCCCTCCCCCCCTCCTCCTCCCCCGTTACCTCCTCGGTACGCTCGTCTCCCCCTCCCTCGTTGCTCCTCCTCCTCCTCCGCCATCCTGTCCCCCCCATCAGGGGACCCCGCGCTTGTGCAGGAGGAGGGAGGCGGCCCTGACCTCCCCTCCGTGATCGCCGAGGTTTGTACTGTGCAGCGCCTGCCTGGAGGACGAGGCCCTGGGGGAGGCGACGGAGGATGCGCGCGCCCCCGCCTGGCGCCGCCTCGGGCCCTGGACGGGGAGGAGGAGGGAGGAGGAGGAGGAGGAGGAGGAGGAGGAGGAGGAGGAGGAGGAGGAGGAGGAGGAGGAGGAGGAGGAGGAGGAGGAGGAGGAGGAGGAGGAGGAGGAGGAGGAGGAGGAGGAGGAGGAGGAGGAGGAGGAGGAGGAGGAGGAGGAGGAGGAGGAGGAGGAGAGGAAGGAGGAGGAGGAGGAGGAGGAGGAGGAGGAGGAGGAGGAGGAGGAGGAGGAGGAGGAGGAGGAGGAGGAGGAGGAGGAGGAGTGGAGGAGGAGGAGGAGGAGGAGGAGGAGGAGGAGGGGGAGGGGGAGGAGGAGGAGGAGGGGGCGGAGGAGGAGGAGGAGGATGCGGAGGATGCGGAGGAAGAGGAGGTGGAGGAGGAGGAGGAGGAGGAGGAGGAGGAGGAGGGAGGAGGAGGAGGAGGAGGGGGGCGGAGGAGGAGGAGGAGGTAGAGCTCAGGGCATTGTATCATTGACTCTGCACTGTAGCGCGCCTTCGCAAGCGCCAGTACTGTCACGATAGAAGTGCGGCTAGGGGGGACGTTATGGAACTTTGGGTATGGTTGGTATCTGGGCGGGGGGAGGAGGGGACTACCTTGCCGCTGCCTGCAGACATGATACTGTATACCCTCGCGGGCTCCTCCACAGTTCTGTTGCTCTTCGCACCTCCTGCGCCGAATAGTCTGCACTCAGGTGATTGTGCGGACTACCCGGTCTTATCGTACGCCGTCGGAGTTCTTCGCAGAGCAAAACGCAGCCGTTTCGTCGTTGACGTTTGCTTAATCTAATGATGATGATGAGGAGGCAGACACGGATGACGGGTATGATGATGCTACTGCCGACGATGACCACGATGATTGGGGGGATCAGAGTTCTGTGATAGTGGGGTCGATGCGACGATGGTGGTGTTCATGATTCTGATGGTGATGATGATGGTGATGATGATGGGCATGATGACGACGACGATGATGACACTGATGGGGGTAACGACTCAGAGGAATTTGGTGACGACGACTGTGCTGATGCTGTCAATGATGATGCTGATGATGCTGACGATGCTGATGATGATGCTGATAATGATGATGATGATGATGCTGATGATGATGGTGATGGTGAGGGTGATGGTGATTCTGATGGTGATGAGGATGATGATGGTGGTGCTGAGGCTGATGATGCTGGTGATGATGAGGATGATGGTGGTGGTGACGATGACGGCGACGCTGATGATGCTGATGCTGACGATGATGCTGCTGATGACGATAATGCCGATCATGATGATGCTGATGACGATGATGCAGATGATGACGATGATGTTGAGGATGGTGATGATGCTGATGATGATGCTGCTGATGATGCTGATACTGATGATGATGATGGTGGTGGTGATGTTGACGATGATGAGGATCATGGTGATGCTGATGGCGGGAATGTCGGTGAGATGCTGCTGTTGATGATGACGATGATGATACTGATGATGATGACGATGACGACGATCATGCTGGTATTGGCGAGTTGGGTGAGTATGAGGATGTTGATGGGGATGTGGTGGTTATCATGATGATGCTGCTGACGATGCCGATCGCGATGTCGATGATGACGATGCTGATGCTGATGATGACGCTGATGATGATGCTGACGATGACGACGCCGATGACGATGATGGTGATGATGCTGCTGATGATGCTGATGCTGATGGTGATGATGCTGCTGATGCTGATGATGCTGATGCTGATGGCGCTGATGCTCATGCTGGTGTTGCGAATAATGATGATGCTGATGATGATGATGATGATGATGATGATGATGATGACGATGACGATGATGATGATGATGATGATGATGATGATGATGATGATGATGATGATGATGATGATGATGATGATGATGATGATGATGATGATGCTGCGGATGAGGATGATGATGAAGATTCTCGTGATGCTGCGGATGAGGATGATGATGAAGATTCTGGTGATGCTGCTGATGATGATGCCGATGCTGATGATGCTGATGATGCTGCTGATCATGATGAGGATGAGGATGATGCAGCTTCTGCTGCTACTGATGACGATGCTGCTGATGATGCTGATGATGATGAGGAGGAGGAGGATGAGGATGCTGATGATGCTGGTACTGATGTGGATGATAATAGCGATGACGCTGATGCGGATACGGGTGACGATGAATCTGGTCCTGCTGCTGCTGGTCCAGATGCACGAGGGAGGGCGGAAGCGGACGAGTAGGATCTGGGTGGGGGGAGAATGGGTGATTGGGGGAGATGTTTAGAACGGAAGGACCACGGAGGATGGCGACGAGAGGGACGAGGGATTAAGCGGGTGGTGGTGATGATTTTGTTGGGGGGAGAAGAGGGGAGCAGGGGGGAGATGAGGTGCATGGGGGAGCGGGAGGCGACGAAGGATATGTAGAAGGGATGGGGGATGCGGGAGAGGAGGAAGCGAGGAAACATGGCGAGAGTTGGTGATGATTAGTGAGGGTGTGGGGGGGGTGATGGGATGGAGAAGGGATGAGACTGCGTAGAAGGCGGGGTACTTGTCGGGGGAGGAGGCGGAACGGATGAGAAGAACGCGACCCCATAGAGACACATGGTAATCATGAACCGCCAGTCGAATGCGTGCTGGTTCTTTCAGTTTGGATTTGCCAATTTTATGGTGCACTATATGTGTGGGGCAGGCTCGATGTTGCAACCTAGATTTGGGTACTACGTGCGATACAACCCATGTGGTGTAATGCGCGTGGTTCAAGTTTAGTGGTGCAGTTCAACTGTGGACGTTGCAGCCGTTAGCTCCAATGCTCGTGCACACATCCCACCCTCCCACCCGCAATTTGTTGGCAACGCTAATCTGGCCATGACCCCCCCAAAAAAACAACGCATGGGCGCGTGCAACTCAACCGTGCAGACACGTTCGTCCTGCAGGTCGCAGGATGGTGGTGGTGGTGGTGGTGGCACCCGCGACGCCAATGACGATGACGATGGCGATGACAATGGCGATGAAGACAATACGACGTCGATGATGACGATGGTACTTGTGATGAAGCTGGTGCTGATGGTAATGACTGTGGCAACCATGACGCAGGCGATTGTATTACGGCATGCCCGCAACCAGACATTTGATGAGGGCGGCGATATCGACGATGACGGTGATGACGGTGGTGGTGATGATGACGAAGGTGGTGCTGATAATGGTAATGACGATGCCAATGATGACGCTGACGATGGTGGCCACGATTGTGCTAATGAGGCTGGTGAGGAGGTGCGCGCCCGCAGGCATTCTGACGGCCTGACGTGCTTTTTATTGGCAACCATTGGGTTTTCGTATGTAATTGAGCGCCTATGTGCGGAACTGGTTCGACCATCTACGGTTCTGTAGCAGTTTCGACGTGCGCGCGCGACGGACCCGCACGTCTGGCGCGCATGGTGGTGTTTGGCACGGTTGGCTGGTGCGCGATTGTGGCTGGACGCTTCGGTCATGCGCGTGAAAGTGGCCCGCAAGACCTCATTTGAGAATTGCTAAGGCGCCCATGTTTTCCTTGATATTTCAGTGAGTGCGCGCCCGCGCAGAAAGCTGGCAAAACATGGTTGAGCAAACACTGGTTTTGAACGTTTTGGAATACACACGTGGTGCAATCGTTGAGCAACCAATGGTTTTGAAACGGATGTTGACCCGTGCGCGCGTGGCGGCGCGCGCGTGTGGCCCGTAGTGCGCGTTCCGCAAGGGATTCTGAACACACGCACTTCTCAGATCAGCGCATGTGCACCGCATGGCATTTCGTGTTGCAGACTGCCGGGCGGAGGGGCTATACCTGTTGTGCTGGCATGCTTGTATTTGGTACCTAGGATGGTCGATTGTGCAATGCGCGGGGGGGCGATAAACGGGGTCTCAATGAGAGGGGGTTGGGCGGGTTAGTCCAATTTCTTTTAGGGGAGGCAGTCTATGTTGTGCACGTTATGTGTTGCATGCTACTGGTGCAGTCTATGTTGTGCACGTCTATGTTGGGCATGTTATGTGTTGCATATATGGTGTAATGAACTATTGTCCACTGACGAGTTGTCAGCCTCATTGCTCGCGCAATCATCCCACTCTCCAACCGCAGTACGTTTTGTATAATCAATGGGGACTCGATTGCGGTGACTCCTTGGCACTCGCTGGCGCATCTTTGCGGCCGCGCTAGCGCACGAAAGCTTGCGCGCAGACCGCGCAGCTGGTTTGGCACAGCCGATGTGGCCGCGATGGCGCTTTCTGATGGAAACTTCCTAGCGCGTCTCGAAGGCTGTGCTGGCGCGCGGGCACGCCAGTGCGGGTCAGTGACTCGGGCGGGCGCGGTATCTTGATGACGACGGCAACGACGACAACGATGATGATAATAGCGATGGTGGCGGCAATGGTAGCGATGAGACTGCACGGCCAATGATGGCGCCGATGCTGGTAACTAGCGACGATGACAATGCTGTCATTCTGTCGGTGGTGAAGGTGCTTGAATAATGACATGATGCGGCGGCGCTGGGGGGGGGGGGGTGGTGAGCAATTGCGCGCGCGGGGATGTAAGGAACCTGTAAGGCTTTGCGTTGGCAGAACATGTTTTTGTTTCACATGTTTTTGAACCTACCTATCTAATGGCCTTCGGCCCATCCCGCCACCATGCCTGGGTTGGGGGTCATAGGCCTCTAGGACGTTCGCTGGAATGTCGCGGGAAGTCTTTCGGTTGCTTCTTGGGGGCTGTTTTGGGGCTTCTTGTGGTCCATTTCTTGGGGCTTCTTGGGACATCTTCGGGGCCTCTTGGTCTCTTTGGGCCTCCTTGGGGCCTCCTTGGGGCCTCCTGGGGGCATCTTGGGGCGGAAGACTTGGATTTGGGTTCGTGTTCCCCCTTCGTGGGCTCTTCTTGGAGCTGTGTGTGGGCCCTCTTGGGCGGTCTTGAGCGCCTCTGGGGCCGTGTTGCAGCTCTCTAGGGCTGTGTTGGGGCCCTCCTAGTCCTGGGGGCCTCTTGGGCCGCCTTGGGGTGGTCCTGGGGGCCTCGGGCCGTCTTGGAGCGTCGGGAGCTCGAAAAGTCGAGGACCACCAAATCATTGAATCACAGTTGGAAATCAATGATTTTGGCCTCTCGGGGCCCTTGTGGGAGGCCTCATGGGCCGTCTTGGGGCCATTTTGAGCGTCTTGGTGGGGATGTTCGGCGATTCGGGTCCCTCATGGTGGACCGTCTTGGGGCCCTCTTGGCTCGTCTTGGGCCCTTCTTGGGCCCGAAAAGAACACGCGAGAAGACGCGATAAGCCGCGGTAGATTTGGCAATGTGGGCTCTGGGCCCCTTGCAGACTTCCCAGGAGTGAGGACTGAGGCTTAGAAACTGTTACCCTAGACAAAAGGACCTGATGACAAGCCCGCTCCGTGCCCAGCGGCACGGTGGCGGATCTTGAAAGGCGTCGGCGACAGGTTTTTTGACAGATTTTGACGCGCGCGTGGCGGCGCGGGCGTGCGGCCCGCACGGTATTGTTATCACCATCACCAATCTTATGGCTGCTCTCATAATCATTGGTCTCATGGTTGTTCTTCTCATCCGTACCATTAGCAGGGCTCGTCTTATTATTACTTATGTTATTGTTATGATTGTTATTTGTGTTAGTCTACGTCTTATTCGTACTCGTCTGTGTACTGCTTGTATTGCTAATGTTATAATAATGATTTTGTAAGCCGTACCATTCGCAAGGCTAGTTATCTTGTATCACGTATCATTGATCTATGTACATACCTACATGTAACCATACATACAGGCATACACATGCGCATCCATACATCCACACATACATACCAACACACACAGACACACATATACACATACATATATATATATACACACTTATGTTTACATATGCAGATATAGCTTTACATCTATTCCCTCTCACACATATATATATATATGATACATATATTACCTGGGACCCCCTCCCCCCGAAGTTGGCCCTCCTCCGGATCCCGGGCCCCTGGGACCCTCTGAACCCCCCCAGATCTGTGGCTCCCGGGCACCCCCTGGACGCCCTTGCAAGAGGACCCCCAGGCGTGTCAGTGCTCCTGGAGGCCCTTGCTGGGCCTAAGCAACGGGCCCCAATCGGTCAGGAAGGCTGCCGAATGCCCCCCCCCAGAGCCCCAAGAGGCCCCAGACACCCACCAGACGTCCGAAGACGAGCCAGAGAAGACCCCCAGGCTTACAAATCATTTTCCAAGGTTTTTGCATGATTTTGGGAATGCCCTTATCGTCGGTCTTCTGGGCGTCGGCCGCCTGGGAGGCTCGAAAATCGCCCCCAAACCATCCGACAGGGCTTCCAGGCAGTCCAAGGGGGCCCCGAGGCGGCGCAACGGCGTTCCAAGATGGCTTAAGAGGGCCCCGTGGCGGCCCGAGAAGGCCCCAAGACATCCTCCGAAGCATTCCGAATCGTGACCCGGTCGTTCGGGGAGACCGCGGTCGGAGGCAGGGTGGCCCGAGGAAGCCCCCAGAGGCCCCCAGAAGACGCCAAGGAGGCCTCCAGAAGGCCTTAAGAAATCAAGAAAAACTTCCGTGAGGCCCCAAGAGGCTCTCCGAGGAGGAGCCGCCGCAAAAAGAGCTGAGGAGGATGGGGAAGAATTCGCAGGGTAGGGCGAGAATGAAGAACAAAAACATGGATGAAGGAAAACGAATCGCATTATTATAACGGCGATGCCGGAAAAGGCAACAAGGATTTATAGCTAAATTGTTTGTTTTACTTTCCTGCCATTCCGCCTGCATGCCAACCTTCAAGGACCAAGGTGCACGGCGCGAAGCTCCATGGATTTGGCGTATGTTGGATCAACGCTAATGCACCGCGTTTTGAGATGAGCATGTGGCTCCTGGATGATATTACTAACCTTACATGTTTCTCTTATAACTTCAGAAGATGCGCGCAGGCAGAACATATGCAAGAGTTCGGATGACACGTCCTGAGGGCTTGGGTCGTTTCAGGTTGAGATGATTGCATCATTGGAGTGTGCGTGTGTGTGTGTGTGTGTTGATATGATTTCGACCTGTGCGCGCGCGTGTGTAGTCCAGTCGATGATTTTGGAGACGGTTTTGAACATGAGACCTTGCGATAAACGGGTGCGCGCGTGCTATTCTATCATTTCACAGGGGTGAGGGATGGGGGGGGGTCGATACCTGTCGCCCTGGGATGGTGTGGCTTCATTTTAAAATACAAAGGACCCAACCCCCAACCCTATGCAGTTATGAGTACCGCATCCGTGAGTATCGTCTTCGGTGGAGCTTCCTATGGGGCCACGAAGCGCCGTACTGGGTGGCGCGGGACGCATGTGAAGACAGCCACTGGGACCTTAGGTGGAGCTTCCCATGGGGCTTCGAAACGTGTGAGGGTGTGGCGACATTGGTGGTCGGGACGCATGCGAATTGCGCCACTTGGACCTTGGGTGGAGCTCACCATGGGCCACGAAACGTGTGAGGGTGTGGCGAGATGAGCGGCCTGGACGCATGCGAACTGCGCCACTGGGACCTCAGGTGGGTGAGGAGTGTGCCGAAATGGGTGGCCGGCACGCATGCGAACTGCGCCATTGGCGCCTTCGTTGGAGCTCCCTATGGGGCCACGAAGCGTGCGAGGGGTGTGCCGAAATGGGTGGCCGGGAAGCATGCGAACTGCGCCACTGGGACCTTAGGTGGAGCTTCCCATGGGGCTTCGAAACGTGTGAGGGTGTGGCGACATTGGTGGCCGGGACGCATGCGAATTACGCCACTTGGACCTTAGGTGGAGCTCACCACGGGGCCACGAAACGTGTGAGGGTGTGGCGAGATGAGCGGCCTGGACGCATGCGAACTGCGCCACTGGGACCTTCGGTCGAGTTCCCTGACGAAACGCGTGTGGAGTGTGCCGACATGGGCGTCGGGGATGCATGCGAAGGTGTGCCGAAATGGGTGGCTCGGACGCATGTGAATTGCGCTACTGGGACCTTTGGTGGAGCTCCCCATGGGGCCACGATACGTGTGAAGGAGTATGCCGAAATTGTGGACATGCGGAGAGCAGAGGCAGGGACGGGAGGAGGGATTAGGGAGGAGGGGGAGGAGGAGAGGAGATGAGGGCGCGGGGCGCTGTCTCTTCAAAACGAGGACCCGTCACCGTAAGATGGTTGGAGAACAACAAGCGAAAACACTATGCATAATCACATCTTAGTGCAGTATCACAGGTAGCGATAAGTCCAGGTAAGAGAAGGCGGCAGAGTTTTTCCTTCTTTTGAAGAGAGAACCTATGTGAATAACCAGCCTGTGCGCGAGGCGGCCACAAGGCGGCCACTGGCAGAGAAGACCACACAGGTAGCGGCCACGAGAAGACTACACACGAGAAGACAACACACGGTAACCAGCCGAAAACCTCAGAAGATCTAACAAAGGTACCCAGAAGACAAGTCAGAGCACTAGTGTAAACACTGAGTGGAGAAGTTAAATCCCCTTGCGGAGTGCAAGCATTGCTTGGGGAACGATCGCGTAGCACGCAGATCAACTCGTGCGGTAGCGCAGGCGAGACAAGTGCCATCATGAATCAATTCACACAGAACGCATGGCATGGGGGAGCGTCGTACGGAGATATACAGCACACTTGGGTACACCTGTAAGTTTGCCAAGGCACAAGTGGTGGGGTCACAGCGACGAGCAATCACCAAACATTTGGGGCGATGAGAAGCGGTAGCTGCGCCAACTTGGAGCGGTATCGTTGTCAGCCACACCGCGTCATACGACTCGGACTCGGAGCGTGAAATGTATGCAATCAACGACAGCAGCGATCGCTCCATGTAATTTTCGCAGTGTTTTGGACTAAGTGCGGCTTTCCTGATGGTTGCGCGTGCTGCTGCTGATGAGCAAGATGTCCAGTAACGACTCAAACAGCATTCGGTCCAGAGAGAGTGCAGCAGTTACTTGCATCAGCAAAGTTGTTTCCCAAGCATTGGTCGTCAGGACCAGACGTATCACACCAGGTGCAGTCTCTCTCTATCCCGACACTCCGACACGGGGGCATGGTCTCCTGAGATGGCCGAGAAACACCTCTGGATCGTGCGTCGCCTATCTAGCCATTTGTGTGATGGGATTTGCATCGGGTGTATCCTCATACATTGAACCTGGAACGCAGGACTAACGTCCACAGCGCTGCATAGAGTTACTCAACGATTCAACGGCACCTGAGCACTCATCGCCATCCACTTACCCTGCGGTCTTAGTCATGCGGCGCCGGCGCCGCCTCGCCTCAAGAGAGGCCCCTCTGGAGCAGTGTGACACCGACGGGGACTAGTCAGAGATTGCGCCGGCCAGTCTCGCATCTCCCAGCCCCGTCTCTCCCCTCCCTCCTTCTCCCCCCTTCTCTCGCTGCCGCTCCCCCTCCTCCCCTCCCTCTGCCTCCGCCTCCCCCCCTCCCCCTTCTCCTTCAGCAGCCTCCTCCGCGAGCGACTGATTTGCGGTCCAGATCCTTGACACACCAAGGAGGCCAAACTAAGCCCGAAGACGCTCACTCTATCTTCTTCTTCCTCGCCGCGGTCTACACCCCCCCGCCCTTGGCATCCCCGCCCACCGTCGCCTCCAGGAGACCCGAAGGGCCGACCTCGAGGGCCTCCCGCGGTCCGCCCCGCGCATCGCCGCAGCGCTGAGGAGGCGGTCTTCCCGCCCAGCTGCCGCTGCTTTCGCTCCACGTCGTGGTCGTCGTCGTCGTCGTCGTCGTCGTCGTCGTCGTCGTCGTCGTCGTCCTCTGGCCACGCGCAGAGGGGGGTACAGTCAAGGCGCTGTAAGAACGACCGATCTGGGTTCGGAAGGAGCTCGGGTTTTTGGCTGTTCCTTAGATTTTTGTCGTTGGGCCTCTTTGTGGCCTAGTCTCGCCGTGGCCAGAAAAGCCCCTTCTTTCATGATTACGCGTTCCTTATACTAGCACGATGGCTGTAGGGGGAGAGGGGAAGGCTTCTTAGACGCACCTTTGCTTCTTAGCAGGCGCGGCCCTTCTCTATAGATGTGGGGCCGGCGCCTGCTAAGGAGCAGCCTCCTTCTATGAAGCTTTCCCCCCCTCCCTCTACCCACTTGTGCGCGCCGCCAAGTCCTTCAGAGGAGGACGAGATGCCAGTACCGCTACTCGTGCTTCAGAGCGCCCTCGTTACCACGACTGGGTTTTCCTCGAAAGTGTAGTCAGAATGCGCCCCAAGGGAGGTCCGGGAAGCAGCGGTATCGGTAACTTTTTGTCCCCCCAGTCCTCGTCTTCGCCGACCTCCTCCTCCTCCTCCTCCTCCTCCTCCTCCTCCTCCTCCTCCTCCTCCTCCTCCCCCCTCGGCGTCGTCCGCACCCTTCCATGCCTCCTTTTGTATCCACCTGTACCTCCTCCTCCTCCTCCTGCTCCTTGTCTCCTTCTCTTCTGTCTTCGTACTTTTTCAGCATCCTTCCTCTACGTCGTCCTCCTTCTCGTCCTCCTCTGGACTTTTGTGCGCGGCCGCACCCACCCATCGATCCATCCTGCTGCTCCTTCTCCATCTTTTCTTTCTTCCGCTTCTCCTCTTTCTTGCCTTCTCCTTCTTCCCTCTCCCTTCAGGGCATGGGGGATGGGCAGACACGGGAGGAGGGGGAGGATGGGGCAGAACCAGTGGGAGGAGGAGCAGTGGGAGGAGGAGCAGTGGGAGGAGGAGCAGTGGGTGGAGGAGCAGGAGGAGGAGGGGAGGAGGAGGAGGAAGACCAGTGTAAACCCAAGAGTCATCAACGATGCTGGAGTAAACCCTCCCTCCAAGCTCCCTTTTCACAGGCTCCTAAAACGGTTCATTTCCATTGAGGAAACTGCCTCGTTGGAAGACACCCGTTTGACGACCCTGAAGCTTGCCAAAGCATTGTTCTCGGGATTCCAGCACCACGGATCAACCTGACTGTTGCGTCTTGACAATCCTGAATCGTGCCAGAACGCCATTACTAGGACGTCAACGCAGAGGATCAACGTAACTGTTGCGCCCGCATAGTCCTGAATCTCTCCACAGCACCACTTCTTGTATGGTGATAATGTGAATCCGTGAGACGCTTGAACATTGTGTAAACGAGTGTGCGCGGCGCTAAGGCGCGAGCTACATTTTGAAAAGGAGCCGCCCTCAATCCGTGAAGCTCTTGCACATGTTTCAAACGAATGTGCGCGGCGCTATGGCGAGAACCACATTTTGCAAACGACCGCCCTCAACCTGTGAAGTTCTTGATTTGTTTGCAACGAATGTGCGCCGCGCTAAGGCGGGAGTCACATTTTGAAAACCACCCGCAAATCCGTGAAGCTCTTGCAGTGTTTGAAAACGAGTTTGCGCTGCGCTAAGGCGGGAGCCACATTTTGAACACCAGTCGCGTTTAACCCGTGAAACTTTACATTGTTTAAACGAATGTTCGCGGCGCTCAGGCGAGAACCACTTTTTGAAAACCACCCGCCTTCCATTTGCGAAACTATTGCCGTTTATTGAGCTTCAGAGTCATAACTGGTGAGGAAGTCTCAGGCAACACGCACGGCCCGCCCTAAAAACTGGCTTCGGGGTGCCACAGGGAGAACGTATTGAGAAGAAAAAGGGATGGACGAGGAGGAGGAGGAGGAGAAGGAGGAGGAGGAGGAGGAGGAGGACCAGTGTAAACCCAAGAGTCACCAACGATGCTGGAGTAAACCCTCCCTTCCAAGCTCCTTTTTTTCATATGCCCCATACAACGGTCAGTTCCATTGATGGTACAACGGCCCTGAAGCATGCTAAAACAATGTTCTCGGGATTCCAGCACCACGGACCAACCTGACTGTTGCGTCTTGACGATCCGGCAGTGTGCCAGAACGCCACTCCTAGGACTTCAACACAGAAAATCAACGTAACTGTTGCACCCGCATAATCTTGCATCTCTCCCAAGCACCGTTTTTGCTACGTTGATGATGTAAATCCGTGAAACCCTTGAAACATTTGTGAACGAATATGCGCGGCGCTGAGTCGGGAGCTGCATTTTGAAAAGGAACCGCTTTCAATCCGTGGAGGTGTTGCAAATCTTTGAAACGAATGTGCGCCGCGCTGGGGAAAACCAGCATTTTGAAAACGTCTCGCTTGAACTCCGTGAAGCTCTTGCAATTTTTTGAAGACGAATGTGCGCGGCGCTATGGTGAGAACCACATTTTGAAAACCACTCGCTTCCAATTTGCCAAATTCTTGCAATTTGTAAAACGAATGTGCGCGGCGCTGTGGCGAGAACCACATTTTGAAAACGACCCGCCCTCAATCCGTGAAGCTCCTGCAACTTCCTGATGCGACTGCGCGCCGCGCTAAGGCGAGAGCCACATTTTGAAAACCACCCGCCCTCCATCCGCGAAGCTGTTGCCAATGTTTCAGCCTCGTAATCATACATGGTGAGGAAGTCCCAGGCGAAACGCCTGGCCCGCCTAAAAACTGGCCTCGGGGTGCGACAGGGAAAAGTTACTTATAAGGAAAATGAATGGAGGAGGAGGAGGAGGAGGAGGAGGGGGCGGAGGAGGAGGAGGAGGAGGAGGAGGAGGAGGAGGAGATGGAGGAGGAGGAGGAGGACCAGTGTAAACCCAAGAATCGTCAATGATGCTGGAGCCAACCCTTCCTCCAAACTTCTTGTTCAGAGGCCCCTGCAATGGTTCTTTTCCATTGAGGGAACTGCCTCGTTGGAAGACACCCGTTTGAAGACCTTGAAGCACGCCAAACGTTGTTCCCGGGATTCCAAAGCGACCGACCAGCCTGACTGTTGCTTCTTGACGATTCAGAACCGAGCCGGAACGCCATTCTTAGGACTTCAACGCAGAGAATCAACGTAACTGTTGCGCCCGCGTAATCCTGAATCCTTCCAAGAAGGCTTCTGGTACGTTGATGATGTGAATCCGTGAAACGCTTGGACCTTTTGTTTACGAATATGCGCGGCGCTCAGGCGAGAGCTACATTTTGAAAAGGAGCCGCCCTCAATCCGTGAAGCTGTTGCGAAGTTCTAAAATGAATGTGCGCGGCACTACGGCGAGAGCCACATTTTGAAAACGACCCGCCAATCCGTGAAATTCTTTCAGGTTAAAGAACAAATGTGCACCGCGCTGATGCGAGAGCCACATTTTGAAAACGATCCGCCATCAATCCGTGAAGCTCTTTCACAGCCTTAAAACGAATGTGCGCGGCGCTAACGCAAGAGCCACATTTTGAAAACGGCCCGCCTGCAAGCCGTGAAGCTGTTTCAAATATTTGCAAAGAATGCTCGCGGTGCTAAGGCGAGGGCCACATTTTGAAAACCACCCGCCCTCCATGTGTGAAACTGTTGTCCGTTTTTGTGCTTCAGGGTCATAAGTGGTGAGGAAGTCTCAGGCGTAACCCCCGGCCCGCGCTAACAACTGGCATCGGGTGGCGACATGGAGAGGTCATTTATAAGAAAAGGGATGGAGGAGGAGGAGGCGGAGGCGGAGGAGGAGGAGGAGAAGGAGGAGGAGGAGGAGGAGTCTTCGTCGTTCTGCCTCGTCGTCGCTGCGGCGGTCCCCGCGGTGGGCGTCCTCGGTGTCGTCGTCGTGGTCGTGTCGTCGCCGCCGCCGCCGCCGCCGCCGTCGTCGTCGCCGCCGTCGCGGTCGCCGTCGCCGGCGGCGCCGGGGGGTAGTCCCTTGCTTTCCTTGGGGTTTGCGCCCCCCCCGGGGGTGGCGTCTAAGGCAGCGGCCTCTGCAGTGATGTGGCGGACATTCGGCCGACGCGCCTAACCCCGGTGGCCATGTGTTCCAAAGTGGGACACGTGATGGGGTTGCGGACTCAGCAGGAAGAGGAGGAGGAGGAAGAGGAGGAGGAGGAGGAGGAGGAGGAGGAGGGGAGGAGGAAGAGGAGGAGGAGGAGGAGGAGGAGGAGGAGGAGGAGGAGGACGAGGGGGGAGGGGGAGGAGGGGGGAGGAGCGGAGGAGAAGGATGAGAAGGATGAGAAGGATGAGAGTGGGGCTTTCTTTTCTACCTGGCCCCTCCCTGCTTGCTCATGCTCCTCTGGGCCCCTCGCAGCGGCAGGCACCCCAGCGAGGTCTTCGCGCTGGCCGAGGCAGGGGCTGCGGGGGGGGAATGCGTGTCGGTGCCCCCGCTGGGAGAGCGGGAGAGGGGAGGCGTGCTAGAGTGGAGGCCCAGGGCGGGGGGTCCAAAGCACGACGAGTAGGAACAGGGGCAGAAGGGGCCAGAGCAATGATGTAGGCCTGGGTCGTTTAGGCTTTTTTCTTCTATGCATCGTTTCTCCTATGCATGGAGAGCTGAGCCGCCACAACTTGAGGATTGACCGGGGACGTTGGTTCCAGAGCGCCCCAGGAGTGCCCAAGACGGCCTGAGAAGGCCCCAAGAGGTCAAGACGTGCCAACAAGCCCGAGACCAAGATCGCCGCAAGACGGGCAACAACTGCAGGCGCTGCATGGCCCTGCCGTTGTGCATTCCTTGCGCTGCCTCGTATTCCTTCGTATTGCGTTTGCAGAAGCGTGCCCTTTACGGTAGTGCGTAGCAGCTCGGCTCACGTTATTGCTACAGCATCACATCATTTCCAAGCACTTGGTGGGTACGTGCATGCGTGTAGCTGTGACATTGTCAAGGTCTGGTTTTTTTTGGTCCTAAGCGCGTGGTTCAAGCGTATGTCCGTATGTGTATACATATTCCCACACTGTGTTTGCGCTCAAGAAGTCTTATTGATTTTCAAAGGAACTCGGCCTGCGCGGCGGTCTGGCAGCTATGTCGCCGCCGTCGCCGCCCCGTCGCCGCCTCGTCAACGCCCGTGGTCGTGGCCTGAGCGGCGGTCTGGCGGCTGCGTGGCCGCCGTCGCCGCCTCGTCGCCGCCTCGTCGCCGCCCGTCGCCGCCCGTCGCCCGGGCCTGCGGGCCGCTCTGGCCGCCATGTGGCCGCCGTCGCCGCCTTCCGCCTCGTCGCCGTCCGCTTTTGCTTGCTTTGCATTGCTTGCCATTGCTTCGCATTGCCTCACATTGCTTGGCATTGCTTTGCATTGCTTTGTATTGGTTGGTACACAGTGTGCCGCATACATTGCACCACGGCTAACACCACATACAACGTACAACATAGGTTGCATCACATGCGTTGCACCATACACATATGTATATATTGCGCCAAATTGCATTGCTCTGCATTGCTTTCCATTGCTTTGCATTGCTTTGAATTGCTTGGCATTGCACTACATTGCTCGGCATTGCTTGACAATGCTTGGGACTGTTATGTGTATATATGGCGTCACCTATATGGCACCACCGTTTCCACCACACAGAATGCACACGATGTAGTGCAGCGCGCACAGTGAAACCATATATTCTCTTGTCTAAAAGAAGAATAGACTCTACGCCCCCTGGAGTTAACGCAGCGCCTTTTCGTATTGCAATTTTCATGTGATTCTGCCCCATCGTCCTGCCTGAATCTGAATTCATACTATCCCAGCCAGGCCGGTATCACTCCCCCCCGCCACCCTCTACAAAAAATACTATGCGCGCACTTCCGTTTATCAAAAAATCATAAAGTTTCAAGAATCCCTTGCAAAACATCGGACGAAGTGCGCACGCGCGCGTCGTCGCGCGCGCATGCCAAAATCCTTCAAGAACCTTCGGTTTCGGAAGAATTTCAAAATCGAGTTTCCAAACAACATACAAAAACACATGGTTTCGCAATATTGATTTTCTAAAAAACTTACGCGCGCGCTCTTGCGAAATCTCAAGGGAATCATCGGCTTTTCAAGGTTTTCAAAGAATACTACCAAACGGGCTTCGCGCGCGCATGTCGAAATCTTTCGACTGCCCTTGCGCGCGTGCCGTCGCGAGAATCCTCCGCAAAAGATGGGACGAAGTGCAGGCGCGCGCGTCGTCGCGCGCGCATTCCGAAATCCTTCAAACACCTTCGGTTTCGGAAGGATTTCAAAATCGTGTGTCCAAAAAACATACAACAAGGTTTCTACACCGTGCGCGCGCGCTCTTGCGTCGTCGTCGTCTTCGTCGTCGTCAACGTCCTCCTTCCTCCCTCGTCGTCGTCGTAGCCGTCGTCGTCCTCTGTCTTTCCTCGTCGTCGCCGTCGTCGTCGTCTTGGCGTCGTCGTCGTTTCCGTCGTTGTTGTCGCCGTGGTCGTCCTTCCTCCCTCGTCGTCTTCGTCGGCGTTTCGTCGTTGTCCCCCTATTTCGTCGCCGTCGTCGTCGTCGTCGTCGTCATCGTCTTCCCTCCTCCCTGGTCGTTGTCGTCGTCGCCGTCGTCGTCCTCCCTCCTCCCTCGTCGTCGTCGTCGTCGTCGTCTTCGTTGGCGAGGTCGTCGTGGTCGTCGTCGCCGTCGTCGTCTTCGTCGTCGTCGGCGTCGTCGTCGTCGTCGTCGGCGGCGGCGGCGTCGTCGTCGGCGTTTCGTCGTCGTCGTCGTCGGTGTTGTCGTCGTCGTCGTCGTCGTCGTCGTCGTCGTCGTCGTCGTCGTCGTCAAAGTCGTTGGAGACGTCGTTGGCGTCGTCGTAGTCGTCGTCGGCGGCGTCGTCGTCGTCGTTGTCGCTGTCCTCGTCGGCGTCGGTGTCGTTGCCAAAAGCCATTTGGTACCCTCCGTCACGGTCTTCAGAGGTCTTGCGACCAAGTTGCGGGTGGGTGGGATGTTTGCACGAGCAGTGGAGAGGACAGCTTCAAGTTGAGCAAGTGCATTTCACCACACATATATATATATATATATATATATATATTGCACCACATACTTTGTCCCACCTAGCGATCACCACACACATTGCGCACTCTAATATCTGTATTTGTTGCACAATATCGGGTGCACCACATGGCTTGCGCCACACATGCTGCACCACATAGGGTGCACCACATATATATATATATATGGCACAACGTAGCTTATACTTCATGTAGTTATTGTGCCGCATAGCTCTGACCGCATAGCTCGCACAGCATGTCCCACACCAACGAACTTGCACCACACATCACTCACACTACATATACTGCTTCACACATTGCACCACGCATTCATATGTACATATACATACGGCACCACATATACTGCACCACATAGGTTGTACCAGGTAGAGTGCACCAGACATATTGCGCCACAAATATTACACTACATGGATGACACCATATATAATGCACCTCAGATATGGCACCACATAGAGTGCACCACATATATTCTCCTTTCCGAAAAGGACTCTACCCTCCCCCCGCCCCCCCCGGCGTTATCCGCCCCCCTTTCGGGTACGTAGATCGTATATGATTCTGACCACATGTCCATCCTAAACATGAATTTGCACTATCCCAGGGGGGCCGGTATCGGTTCCCCTGAGGTTCTTTTGTCAAAAACGATACGCGGGGACATCTTTTGTTCTAAAATAAAGCTTTTTCACGAATCCCTTGCAACAAATGGGACGAAGTGCACACGCGCGCGTCTTCGCGCGCGCATGCCGAAATCCTTCAAAAACCTTCGGTGTCGGAAGGACTTCGCAATCGAGTTTCCAAAAAACATCCAAAACACCGGGTTTCGTAACACTGATATGCTAAACTAGCTTACGCGCGAGCTCTTGCGAAATCGCAAAGAAAACCACAGGTTTTTCAACATTTTCACAACATGCTACCAAACGGGCTTCGCGCGCGGGCATTCGAAATCTGTCGAACGCGCTTGCGCGTGTGCTGTCGCGAGAATCCTCTGCAAAAAACGGGACGAAGTTCAGAGTCGCGCGTCGTCGCGCGCGTATGCCGAAATCCTTCAAAACCCATCGGTTTCGGAAGGATTTCAAAATCGTGTGTCCAAAAACCTACAAAAACACAAGGTTTCGCAACACGAATTTTCAACAAAAGCGTGCGCGCGCGCGCGCTCTTGCGTCGTCGTCGTCGTCGTCGTCGTTGTCGTCACCGTCCTCCCTCCTCCCGCGTCGTCGTCGTCGTCGTCGTCGCCTACGTCGTCCTCTGTCTTTCCTCGTGTTCGTCGTCGTCGTCCTCTTTGGCGTCGTGGTCGTTTCCGTCGTCGTTGTCGCCGTGGTCGTCCTTCCTCCTCCCTCGTCGTCGTCGTCGTCCGTCGTCGGCGTCTCGTCGTCGTCCCTCCTATTTCGTCGCCGTCGTCGTCGTCGTCGTCGTCGTCGTTGTCGCCGTCGTCGTCTTCCCTCCTCCCTCGTCGTTGTCGTCGTCGGCGTCGCCGTCCTTCCTCCTTCTTCGTCGTTCGCGTCGTCGCCGTCCTCCCTCCTCCCTCGTCGTTGTCGTCGTTGTCGTCGTTGTCGCCGTCGTCGTCCTCCCTCCTCCCTCGTCGTCGTCTTCGTTGGCGTCGTCGTCGTCTTCGTCGTCCGTTGGCGTCATCGTCGTCTTGGCGTCGTCGACGTCGTCGTCGTCGTCGTCGCCGCCGTCGTCGTCGTCGTCGTCGTCGTCGTCGGCGTCGTTGACGTCGTCGTCGTCGTCGGTGTCGTCGTTGTCGTCGTCGTCGTCGGCGTCGTCGTCGTCGTCGTTGTCATCGTCGTCGTCTTCGTCGTCGGCGTCGGCGTCGTCGTCGTCGGTGTCGTCGTCGTCGTCGTCGTCGTTGTCGGCGTCGTCGAAGTCGTTGGAGACGTCGTCGGTGTCGTCGTGGTCGTTGTCGGCGGCGTCGTCGTCGTCGTTGTCTCTGTCGTCGTCGGCGTCGCTGTCGTTGTCAAGTGCTATTTGGTACCCACCGTCACGGTGTGAAGAGATTTTGCAAACCAAGTTGTGGGTGGGTGGGTGGGATGGTTGCGCGAGCAGTGGAGTTTACAATTCATTGCAAACAGAATTTTTTTTGTGTTTTTAAAAAAGAATAGACTCTACCCCCCCGGCGTTATCGGTCCCCCTTTCGGGTATGTAAATCATATATGGTTCTGACCACATGTCCATCCTAAATCTGCATTTTCATTATCCCAGGGGAACCGGTATCGATTCCCCTGAGGTTCCCTTGTCAAAAACGATATGCGGGGACATCTTTTGTTCTAACATAAGACTTTTTCACGAATCCCTTGCAACAAATGGGACGAAGTGCACACGCGCGCGTCTTCGCGCGCGCATGCCGAAATCCTTCGAAAACCTTCGGTGTCGGAAGGATTTCGCAAT